CAGTCATCAATTCTAAAGTATCGAAATCAATATGATCGTCAGTGACTAAGTACTAAATAACACCATTTGAAATACAAAAAAAGTTTGCCAAAACATTATGTGAATATTTGAAAGATCTTGATCACACTGACGATATATGCTTTCTTTTAAACGACTATTCTGATATCGTTCTGTCTTTGAAAGCAATTATTGTTTAACATATAAAAATGTACAATTGAACAATAATAAGCTAAAAAGAACGCAGAAGTACGCAGGAAATTATCTAAAGCATACCAAAAAGATCTTAGCTACATAATAAAGCTTATTGTCTTTTGGTTTTGAATAGTTTTTGATGTATGATCCATTAATGATGGGGTTCTGTCAAGAGTTAATGCAGTGAAGGTCTAATTATGAAGGTTAGAAATACTTTACCCGTGCAAACAAGCCTCTAAATAGCAATTGCATCCCATTGAGAAAAGGTTTTGTAGTAATTAGGTCCAATCTTATATATTCTTAATTTTAAAATTATCTGTGTAGATCTAAACAATGTGCTTAACACCGCTGTCTAAAATTTCTTATAATCATTTCAGCTTTAATCGGCTATTGAACCTTTTTAGAATCTGTTAAACAAGTTGAGACATCTGCAAGTCTTTTCAGGACTGTTAAAATATTGATGATGATGGTAAATAATCGTAAAACTCTGGCAATGTGCTTCTAAATAATAATAGGCACATTAAATATACCTCCGTTTTTTTTCTTCTAATTAGCGAGTTAAGTTAAGTAAACTAAGATCTATCAATAGCGCTTAATACCGTGATGTCTCAGTATTATTTCTAATAATTATATTAATAATTTAGAAACTAATTGTAAAAATGCATTCTAAATAAAAATACAAAATGTATGAGTTATGTAAAGACTAGATCTTGCAAATTGATCAAATGACATAAAGTAAGATACAGATGTTAGACAACTGATTATTAATACATTTTATCGAATAAAAAAATAATCATATTATGTTATTTAAATCATAATAACATATCATATAAACCAGTACATATATAAAATAATAAATAATAATAAATAAATTACCTCTACCTCTGATTACGTCTGCTATGTACCTCTAGAACCCATTATGAGTACATAATGAGTGTATTTACTTAAAGGTTTGAACTTGAACTGAGCGACTGTATTTAAACAAATTAAAATATTTATGATTTTCAGTTTTTATAAAACTTAAAGCTCAAAAGCAGCAAAATAAAAACACAGAACAAAAGTAAGTAAAGAGAGAGCGACTGTGGAAATAAAAATGACAAATGCGATGACAGCATCATAAGCTGACATTTTTATTTCAGATTTAAGCACCCAAAGACGCGTAGGAGTGGTGCGTTACATTTCAATCAGCAACTCATTCTTTAAAGATTTTGTTTTTAATTGAAATATTTTTTATGTAAATGGACTTATCTTTCGAAAACAATTGCAAAACAAAAGCATGTTATGTGAAATTTATATAATTATGTTTTGTAACACGCCTAAAGTTGTATTCTTTATAATAAACATCATACAATGTATAGGATTACTTAATTGAGCTAATCATATTGAGACATAATTTCAAAAAAATGCATCAAACTAAGAAAAGATTGCAGCAATAAGGGATTGAGCGGAAAACATTTCACTCACCTCTCGTACTTTTGTAAGTGGAATGAAATTCAATAATAGTAAGACCCCGCTTATCGAGTAGGATACGTTCCATCAAAATGGAGCGCAATGCGAAACAGTGCTAAACGAGGTTATCTTAACATGTAAATAATGGGGTTAGGGGAAGATTAGGAGAAAATTCCTTATACATTAAATTCAATAATTATGTTTTTTTTTTTAATAATAATAAAACCAAATATTTATTTCTTACAAAAACAAAAACAATGTAAACGAATATTACATAAAAACAAATAAAATTCTAAGTCAGTCAGATCATTAAGTCTATTCTGTGTTTCCAATTTTCTTCCTTTTTGTTAAGAAGGCATCTAATGTAGTTTGCGTTTTCCTTTTGCGTTCTGTAAGAAGTTGTTGATAAGTGGATAAAGCATCTATAACATTCCGTCTTGATTTTAAACTCCTGTCAAAATTTTAGATTATTTTGAACAAATTGGTTCATAATTTCAGTTGTAGTGGTCAAACTCCTTTTTACAAGCGCCTTTTTTTGCTCTTCTTCGAAATCACTACTATCAATATTTTCCTCATATACCTCATTTAAACTGGTTTGTTTCGCTAATTCCACTAATTCTTCCACTATTTCATCCATATCAACAGAGCGTCCAATGTCTTCGCTCTTACTTTAATCTGGCCAAATGTTCTTCCACACTCGTTTAAAAGATCTTTCTGTTATCTCATTCATTCCATTCCAGCATTTATGATAATGTAGTTTTTCTCTTATTGATTGTTTCTCTTCTCCATCTGTTTTTTTTAAACATCTGTTTAAATGTTCGGGTTAAAATAAAAGAGCGCTAAACCGAAACAGCGTTAAACGAAACAGCGTTAAGGGAGGTCTTACTGTATATGCTACTAATTATATTATACACATTGGTACGAGTATCTGACAAATACCGTATTATGTTTACTCAAGCGGTGCCTGGCAGACATAACTGATATCACGTTTTTGATATTGTAGTATATCCACTTTATTCTTTCGCTATCTGAAGTTCAGCGGAAGTAATTCATTACGAAGACACTTTCTTTTTCAATTAACGATTTGTTTGTTGCCCAGACATATTTTTATAATATGAGGCTTTAATCAGTTATTTGCTCCAAAATCTACTTCATACAAAATACGTACGAACTAAATAATAACATAAACCAACTAAATTCTTGGTTGGCGCAGACTTGCCGTATGAACTCTTCACCCTATATAGCGATCATACTATTTTCTCTGCAGAAATAAGTAGACGCAGTTTGTACGCAAAATCGATTCTGGGTTTGAAATTTCAATTTGAACAATTTCAAGCTTCATTTATCTCAATTTCGACATACCGAATTCAACAGCAATCAATTGAGAATTTCAGACTGAAATTGTCTAACATGTTGCAGTTATGATATTGTTCGAAAACTGAAGATCGACTACGAAATAGTGTTTAATCGTTTTCATAATGTTGATTATATATGAAAGCTGAATATTTAGATCACTCATGAACGGAATGAAAACAAAAAAACTAGGGCGTTTGTTTATTTGAGTTGTTGTTGACACGGAAGAAATCGAGAAATTTTTTAACTATATTGTAATAGTTGGTAAAAGACAGACCACAAGGAATGTCCATAATGTTGAAGGTGATGTTGACTGAAAAATATGAAATTGCACAACCGACATCAACGTTGATATTTAGAACAAAAAAGATTACGCCATAAGTTTTGTAGGTTTACAAAAGTATCATGCGCTTGGAGCCAATATGACCCCGAAAACTAAATTATTGAAGTTAACGCCAAAAATAGTCAATAGTCTAGTTATTAGGCTTTATCATGAAAACGCTAGACATAATAGATATCTTTATATCTAATATGTCCTCCATTATTTTGTTGCTAAATTATCATTTGTTTCAATAATTGCTAAACTTTCTCATCTACATAAAACTGAAGTCAAATGAAGTCTGGGCAAGAAAATTGACATATATTAAATTATTTTTAAAACAAAACAAAAATTAGTAAATTTTAATCCAATTTACATAATATTGTGAATAAGTTGAGAATATTTAATCCAATATTTCTTTTATAACTTTTATTAAGCAATTGTCGCCATAATGGAATATCATTTCACACATATATATAAATAATTAAGCATAATATATATATATATTATATATATATATATATATATATATATATATATATGTATTTAAATATGTTTAAATATTTAAGTGCTTTTGATTTTTTAAAAAATAAACGTAGAAAAAAATTACTGAAAAATTTCTTCGTTCAAGTTTGTTACTTAAGTCTTTTGTTATATGCACTGAATCGCTTGTGTTTTGCAGTTGGTCGTATGCGCATATATTAATGATTTTGTTTATATGGCTGTCATAGTGTTGGTGATAGTTTTACATTTATGTACGTTTGTATGTTGACTGTAAATTAACCTCATAAAATTCGATTGCAACAATAATAATAACAACAACAACATTCTTAAAACGAAACAAAAACAGTTTTGTGTTACAAAAGTTTCATGTTACTCGTGCTTATGACAATGAGTATTAAATTTCCGCCGGTAATAAAAAGTACTGGCAGCGCCAGTTGCAAAAGTAGTGGCGGCAGCAGTACCAACTACAGCATCCACAGATATAAACAGATTGCTTAAAGCAAAAGTAATTTGCGAAGCGTTGAACGTTATAACTTCATTCGTATTGAAAATGTGATAGCTTTTTGTGAAATAGTGAAGTGAAATACCTGTAATGAGATTATGTGTAAATTAATTAAAATTTCAAATAATTTAATTAACTTAAATAAATTTGCTATTCACAGCTGGTGACTGCAAATAAATATAATTAGTGTTTATACCGCAGGTATAACGTTATACTTGATGAGGTAATAACACGTTAAAGTGAAGGGTGACAGATTATAAATTTTTCGATACAACTAAATCTAGAGAAGGAACTGAAGCAAAGTTCATAACAAAGTACAATTTAATAAAAGGTTTATATTGACAGTCATTGGTGGTTAAATGCTGTTGTGGTATAGGTATTTCCAATATTTGCTTCAAATTTTTAATGCATATTTCTCCAATTATCAAGGAATATTCCATATTTATTTTCATATGAAAGAAGAGAATGATGTAGTATCAAACAAATATTTTATAATACAATTTATAATATTTGAAAAAAATGTTATGCAGCAAATACTGCTCTGTTAAATTCTAATAAAAATATGTTATATGTATGTGAAACAAATTTTTAAATCTTCAATAAATTGAGTTGACAGATTAATCATTTAATATTTAGCCAATGAATTATCTATTTACCTAGTATTATATACTACTTACTTACTTAAATGGTCATAACAACCCGGTACCAAGTTTCAATCTGACACAGTTTGTCTCTCCAGGTGGCTCTGCTGCTTACACGTCTTCTTCAATTTGGAATTAGTGCTCCTTCAACTTGATCTCTTAACCGGAGCCACGGTTGGCCTTTATGCCTTTCCCTTTCGACTACTGCTTCAAATACTTTTTTCTCTGAAGCATATTTATCCGTTCTCACGACACACAGTGTGACAGAACACAAAATTAAGCGGTCAAAATTCGATATTTTCGGAACCAGTAAAGATATTGATATGAAATTTTCCTAAAATATAGTTTTTGAGATGATCTTTCTTTTAAATCTAATTGATTTCGATTTGTTTCGATTTGTTGTTTCGATTTAATGGAGTATCAGTCTCACCAGGATCGTCACAATAAATTTATATTTGTATTATTTGTATTACTATTTCCTACAAACCAAAATTAATATCAACAGTGCACTTTGCTCTTCTAACTAATCACCTGCCAAAAATTTTACCGTAATGGATTTTATCTAATGATATATTTTCGTCTAAAACACCATTTTAAATATTTCCTTAATGTTTCGTATTCTATATTTTTCAGTAGTTTTCCATTCAGCTAATTTTTTGACACCAATAGATTACAAATGACCTAACCATGTTTTTATTGTTAGTAATTGCATCGATGTGTCATTCATTTTCTTTTGGAAATTATTTCGAATAGCTGTTTTTTCATCCTAAAATTAACAGCTTAACGAACGCCATATTTAAGATTTATATTTTTCATGAGTATAATTGATCTTAAGATATCTACATATGTATCTATTTATCTCGCTAACTTCGGATATATACAAAAAAATTTTTTAGTTTTTGATCTAATCGAATATAACTTAATACAATAATAACATTATTAAATTACTGTGTGAATGAAAAAAATCAGTTAAAATATCTGAAAAGGGTTTTAAAAAAACTTGTATTACTATTTTACAATACTACTTTTTATGTGATTTTATTGAAATCAGTTGAGACAGTGAAAATACGTATTCACTGACACATTATAAACTCCAACAATTTCTGAAACCACGTCAAATTCAAATGGAAAGTTTTATTTGATTACCTAAAATATAGGAAACGAATTTATCTACTAATAGACCGATAGATAGAAATTATTAAATGAGTTTATCTCATCCTGTTGACGGAGAAAACAACAAGTTTGTGTAAACGTTGAAACCGTTTTTTGTGTGACAAATATCTTAATAAACTGAACAGATTTTTTTTACAATAATTGTGTTACAGGAAGATACTTCAACAAATTAAGGTTTTCTAGAACGTAAGTCCGTAGCATGCCTCATCTTCCTTTTGCACGCACTACAGAAGATCCTCAAACTGACCAAGCTTTTTTGGAAAAACGTCCGTAGCGTGCTTAATCTCTGTCTGGCATGTACTAAACGGTAACAGAACAGATGTGAAGTACTTGTCTCATCGCTCTCACAGTTTAAAGGGAATATTTAATCTTTTAGCATGATTTCCTAAGTGACGGTGAATCATCTGCATACCCGCTATGCAAACATATCATCTGAAAAAGATGGCTTGATTTTTTTATAAGATATATATGTATATGTAATAATATATAAATATATGCAATACAAAAATGATGTAATCAGAATATAGTGTAGAATATATATATAGGATAGAATAAATTAATTAGAAATATATATAGTATGCAGTACTACATTTTTTTATATATATGCGTATGTAAATAATTATATGATTTAATTCTATAATTTATATTAAATATACAAATGATATATAATATTGTGGGTAAAAAAATGGATTTTATTGCCAGAAGCAATTCTAACCAGAAGACTTTCAGCTCCGCAGTTTCACAGTTCAATATGCAAAGAGGTCTAAATATAATATTTGAAAATGCCAAAACAATTAAATTTAGAAAGCAAGATTAACACGCAAGCTGTTATTAATTACAAAAAAAAAATTTTAAATAAACTAAACACTTCCTAGTTAACATTAAATGCAGCAATTAAGCATTTGTGCACTTTAAATCAATTAATCTATGTAAATCAAATTTTAATTAAGCAAAGTTGTAAAACTTCCAAACTGTTTTACGGTAATAGCAAATGATGTGATAACAGAAAACTTTATAGGAAAAGTGTGGTGAAATAAAGGTAAGCCTTGCGATGTTATCTGTTTGAATGCAATTAGCAACATAATTACTATGATTATGAGTATTGTTATTGTGATTACTTATACCACTCGTGGTACAGAACAATCAAAATCCAATTAGAACAAATACAAAACTGGCAGTAGCAAAAAACGTGCTCGTATACAATACACAATGATGGAACGACAATATGCCTCTTTGTTGTTCCAATTGTTTTGCGTTTTGTATCTTGAGTAACTTTTTTTTTTTGTTCTTCGCTTTATTCTATAATTTTTACATGATAAACGCTAGAGAAAAAAGAAACCAAATCATAACACAACTTAATGGACGATACACTTATTCTACAGCGTCATACTAACAATTTTGTGCAAATTGTTTTTGTATGCGATATTATGCAATACTGTAGTTGTTGTTGTTATTATTATTATTATTGTTGCTGTTATTGTATGAAAACAGTTCCCAATGCAAAATTTGTGTAGTGTTGTAGCTTGGTTTTAAAATACACTGACGGATTTAGTGCAAGTGCAAAATTGTACTTGTTTTATTTATACAATTTTTATTTTTGTACTTGTTTTTATTTTTGTTTATAGCACATAAAGGCAGCTTTTTAAGGTGGCATTACAACGTGTAGAGTATAGTAACAGAATTGTTTGTGTACAACATATGAATGATTATATTTATTTCAACTATATTTATTTCCTAACACATTTGAATCTAATTTATTTTTTTGCTTCCAAATCTGCAAGTATTAATATGATCCATTTTCTGGCCCTTCTCTTTGCGCAGGAATTCAGGATTTATAAGCATTTATAAGCAAACATTAACTTTAAATAGTACAAGGGCAGTACATGTATGTGCGACAAATAACTATCGCGTGCAATGAATTTTAAATTAATATTAACAATAAAAATGTTGAAATAAAATCAAAAAAAGAAAAAAGCTTAAAAAGAAATAAAAAACAATAAAAAAAATGAAAAACACATATATATGTGTGTATGAACAGTATATATGAACAATAAGTAAATAAAAAAATGAATTGAAATGGCATAAAAAATAAAAAAGTTATAATGCAAAAAATAAAGATATGCAAAAGGAAATTGTTTTTTTAAATTTTTAGTTGCTGGAAGCAGTGGCAGATACAACAACATTTGTACAACTCTAATATAAATTATAACTTAGCTTATATGCATAGAATATACTTACACACATAGAAGTAGAAGTACAAAAACAAAAACAACAGCAGTAACAAAAACGTAGTAATAATTGCTGTCGTAGTCTGGTTTCACTCGACCATCACCAGCAGCAGCGGCAATGGCTGCTGCAACAAAAAATTAATAATGTGGGAAATTTTTGCCAAAATAAAAATGAAACTAAATATGCATATATTTATGTATAGAAATGTAAGCAGGCATATATTGTGTACACATGTATTTGTATGTTTGCAGATATTTATAAAAATTTATTGGACTGTTGCATGGCTTAAAAAGTGACAGCACAAAAACAACAACACTTTTACTCCTTTTTTGCATAAGAAAATAAACCAAACAAAAAAGTAAACACCAAGAGCGGCACTTCTGCTTTGCTTCTTTATTTAAATTTGCACGCGAACCAAAATTGCAAAAAAAAACTTTTAGTCGTTAAACATTTAAACTGTGGATTTTGTAAAAGCTCTTTTATTTTTTTTTTTTGCTTATGAACTACTGGCAATTATTTCAATGGAAATTATTTCTATAATACAATTATTATACTTTTGATTATACAATTTTTATTTGAAAGTTTTAAAGGTTTTATTTCCCAATTTACACAAAAATCTGTGCAAAAACACAAAAATTATATACGAAAACGAAAAAAAATTTTTGCCCAAATCAGTTGTTCAAAAGGTTATTAGATATTTTTTTAAAATGTTTTACGCAATTTAATCAAACAGAAAACAGAGAATATTTATTTACTTTAAATTAAATTGTTAAATATTTATGAAGAATAATGTTCACTAAATAATTTAATACACTTGCGCAATTTCAATTTTTGTTCATAGTTTAAAGTATGTACGTTAGTTGAGTTTGTATTACGTTACACTGCGTTTAATTGTGTATCTCGATGATACACCCGTGAAACCGTCATCAACCGTTGCGATAATATTACAACTAACGTTGTCAACTCGATCGCACTTACGCTAAACTAACAAAATGCTGCCTGCTCGTTGCTGTCTGCTGCTCTTTTGGTTCGTTCAGTGTCGATCAACAAATACGCTTCAAGTTAGCAAAACATAAATAATACAAAAACAAAATACAAAATACAAAGCCAACAACAAATAAGAGCAACAACAACAATAATAATAACAACAACAAGAACAATAACAAAAGCAGCAGTAACACAAAATAAAATATTTAAAAAACAACAACAAATTGAATAAGAAAAAGTACATATGAAGTTGTAAAAAGAACAACAATAAAGATGACAACAACAGCAACAACAAGTGGACAACTCTACAAGCAGCAATCCACAAATGCTTCACACTTCAAACAGAGCATAGCTATGTATGAGCATAAATCTGCAACATGATTCACACACACAATTTATTTGCTGCTTGGTACCCCACAGCACACAATCAAACGAAAATATCAGCAATAAGCTCTGCAACAAATATAACAACAACAAAATGTACAAGTAGCAAGCAACTTTATCCGTATACATCATCGTTAGGCAACTTATACAAGCAGTTTTCTACTATTTTCCTTAGTGTTGCATAAGAGTTGCCAACTATCAAAAAACATTTTTAGATACCCGTATATGCAAATCATCTGAATTAGTTGAAATTAAAAGCTTAATTTATTGTGTCACATATTATAGCTAAATTAATAAAAAATATTATGTGATTATTCATTTTGAATGATAAATATGTTTATATTATTGTTATAAGCGTTCTTTGTAAATTTTATTGTAATTCGTTGTATCAAAAGAATATAAATAATTTTTTCAGAGATTTTTAAAAAAGTATGTCACTTTAGTGCAACATTATTATTAAAAATATAAAAATAAAAAAATTTAACATTTTTATTTTTATTTTTATTAGAGAATTGAATATTATAATATAAATGTTAAAAAAAAAATATTTATAAAATTAAAAGAAGTTTATAGTTTCTGACTTGAAAATCCATCACAGAATATTTCGCAATGATATTTTCAGTTATATTTATTTGAAAACAGTTTCCGAAATTATCTAAAAAAATTTTTTACTACAATAAAAAAGACAGTAGTCGAACTTCTTTAAAATAGAATAAAAGCAGTGCTTGATAAAAATATTACTATTTGCTATAATTAAATATATAAATAACGCCCAAATCAATATTGGTTTAGTATCTTAAATAAATAGATATCTAGTATTTAAATAAGTCAAATATGAATATAAAAATATCAGCAAGAAGATCAGCAAGAAATTAACGTTTTTTCTAGTTAGAAAAAGAGCTGCAAATCTAATAATACCTAATTAGGAAATCAGGGAATAATTTCGAAAATTGTATGTCTATGATAATAAATCTACCATTTACAAGACTTATA